TATATACACATTACTTTTAAACATATTTTCACATTAGTGATGTTGTAAGGAAGAATTAGAACCAATAGGAGGAACCACCAGAAAAAGGAAACAAAACAAAACAGAAGGAAAAAAATAGCAAATAGTATGATTCAGTCTGCATTCAAACTCCGTAGTTCTTTCTTTGGATATGGATAGCATTTTCCATCATGAGACCTCTGGAGATGTATTAGATCCTTGAATTGTTGAAAAGGGCTAAGTGTATCAAAGTTAGTCATTGCACAACGTGGCTGTTACTGTGTGCAACGTTCTCCTGGTTCTGCTCATTTCACTCAGCATCAGTCCATACAGGTCTTTCCAGGTTTTTCCGAAGTCCACCTGCTCATCATTTCTTATAGGACAATAGTATTCCATTACATTCATATACCACAACTTGTTCAGCCATTCCCCAATTGATAGGCTTTCCCTCAATTTATAATTCTTTGCCGCCACAAAAAGAACTGCTATAAATATTTTTTGTACATGTGGGTCCTTTTCCCATTTGTATAATCTCTTTGGGATACAGCTCTAGAAGTGCTATTGCTAGGTCAAAGGGTATGCACATTTTTATAGCCCCTTGGGCATAGTTCCAAATTGCTTTTCAAAATGGTTGGATCAGTTTACAACTCCACCAACAATGCATCAGTGTTCCAATTTTCCCACCCCAACTTTTATCATTTTCTTGTTTTGTCACATTGGCCAATCTGATAGGTGTGGTATGGTATCTCGGAGTCATTTTGATTTGCATTTCTGTAATAAATAGTGATTTAGAGCATTTTTTAATATGACTATAGATAGCTTTAATTTCTTCATATGAAAACTGCCTGTTCATATCCTTTGACCATTTATCAATTGGGGAATGGCTTGTATTCTTATAAATTTGACTTAGTTCTCTATACATTTTGGAAATGAGGCCCTTATCAGAGACACTGGTTGTGGAATGGCTGAACAAGTTGTGGTACGTGAATGTAATGGAATATTATTGTGCTATGAGAAATGATGGACAGGCTGACTTCAGAAAAAAACTGGGAAAGACTTGTATGGTCTGATGCAGAATGAAATGAGCAGAATCAGGATAATGTTGTACACAGTAAGGCAAGTCACTTTATAGCTCTAGGCCTCAGGTTCTCCAGGTAAAACGAGAGGATTGGGTTCTATTTTCTCTTCCATTTCTATATCTCCATTCTGTTCTGAACCAGTTTTTTTCCTCTTACTACCTAAGAGCACTGAGTTATGATACTATTAAAGCATTGGAGAGATAGAGAAAAAAAATTGTTATGGGGTATTGGACAACTGATTTTGAAAGGAGTTCTAGAATGTTTAACAAAAAAAGAGAGCGATAACTCTCTACATTCCTCCTCCCCCAATCACTGGTGTCCCTTGTTATCTTCAACCTACTAGATACTTCATTTGTAAAACGAGGCCCTTTACTCCATCAGTTAACCCATAGGCTATATGTCAAGAGCACACTGCTGGTAAGAAAAAGTGCCTTCAAACAAAGGTGAGGTGTAAATTTCTGCTGAGAATTGTTTCTCACGTTGTCTTATTTTCCCCATATTTAGGCTGTTTGCTTGGATCAGTTTGTCTGAAATACTATTTGCAACCCTGCAAATCTATACCAAAAATGTGGTTGTTGCCAGTTAAGCTCTGATAATATTGTAGTACTCAGAATACTGTGTTTCTCACCACTGGTTCTGGAGTCAAAGGATCTGGTCTCAGCTCTGATGCTTACTACAAGAAGTATCTAGGACAAGTCACTTAAACTCATTTTGGGACATCTACAAAATGACAGTTGGCTGAGATGCCTCTGAGATTCCTGCCATGCTTTTAGTGAATTACATTATAAACATACTCTTTTATGTAGAGAGAGGTTTCATGGTACAGTGGGGAGAATCCTGAACTAGGAGCTAGGTTGTGGTTGTTGTTGTTGTTCAGTCATTTTCCATTGGTGCCCAACTCTTCATTTAGGATTTTCTTGGCAAAGATACTGGAGTGGTTTGACATGCCCTTCTGCAGTTCATTTTACAGATGAGGAAACTGGGGCAAACAGGTTAAGTGATTTGCCCAGGGTCACATAGCTAGTAAGTATCTGAGGTCAGAGTTGAACTCAGGTATTCCTGACTTCCAAGTCTGGTACTCTATCCGCTGTGCCTTTTGAGTTCTATTACTAATTATGCCACTAACTGACCCTGTGACTTTGGGCAAGCTGCTAAACTTTTCTAAGGTTCACCTGTAAAATATGGGGATTTTACTGGATGATCTCTAAGGTTCCTTCCAGATCCATCAGCTTCCTCTATAATAATGTACTATTTTTTTTTGGTTGGCACAGCTAGGCAGTGCAGTAGATAGAATGCCAGCCAGTTAGGAAGACTCATTTTCCTAAGGTCAGATCTGGCCTCAGACACTTACTAGTTATGTGTGACCCCAGGAAAATCACTTAACCCTGTTTGCCTCAGTTTTCTCATCTGTAAATGAGCTGGAGAAGGAAGTGGCAAACCATTCTAGTATCTTTCCCAAGAAAACCCAAAATGGGGTCACAAGGAGTGGGACATCTCTCAATAACAACAACAATGACAGCAATAGCAATTCTTTGTTGTTGGGGTTTTTTAATGACCCTATTTTATTTATTTGTAAATTATCCCATTTATCCACAAAATGGTAGAACCTGTACTTGTAAATGGTAATGTACTTCTCTACCTATATCTTACTGTGCTTCCTTGTGGTGGAGAGGTGACTTGATACCCTAGAGCAGTGGTCTCTTAAAGTGGAGACTGTGGTGGAGAAGGTTGAGGGCTGACTCCAAGGGGTGTGTAATAAAAAAATCAAAGGCAAGGAGGGTGAGACACATATCACCTTTTACCCTTACCATCATATCCAATCGTGAGGCTTTTCTCCAACATAACATACCTCCCTTAATCTAACCACTGTTTGAGCTTCCCATCCCTTCCCACCCCCTTCTTTACAGGACAAACCATCCACTTAGAGTAGTTATAACTTAATTATAATCTGGGTACTTATCGCATCAGGTGTGTAGGTGCCAGTGACAAAATTATCCACTCATTCGTTCCTGTCCCCAAGATCACCTTATGGCTACTGTAAGCATACCTCAGAGATTGAATGCTGTACTCTGTGGCAGTGACTAGTGAGCATCAATCTCCCCACTCCCCTTTCCATTTTTAGTGGGATAGAATGAGTGTCACAGGATGAGTAGGTATGGATGGGTTGTGATCACCATCACAGATCCCATTACATTTTGTTTCCCCACATTCATCCTTCTTCTAAACTTCCCACTTCCTGTTGAAGGCACCACCATCCTTACAGCTCTCCAAATTCATAATGTTGGTGTCATCCTTGACTCTAATGCTTCCTCACCCATAATCAGTTGCCAAACATTATCTTTTCTATGTCCAGCACTTAGCACAGTACCTGGCACATAGTAAACACATAATAAATGTTTATTGATTGATTATTGATTACAATATCCTTTGCCTATGTCCACTTTTCTCTACTCACATAGCCCATGACCTAACTCATCATCATCGTCATCATCTCTCACCTAAGATTATTCCACTAACCTTCTATTTGGATGCCCTGCTTAAAACTTTCCCTTATTCAAACCATTCATAACACAGCTTAAAAAATTAGTTTCCTAAAGTACAAGTCTGAATACATCATTCCCCTATTCAACAAACTCTAGGTGCTCCCTATTGACTCTAGTGTCAAATATTATTTCATCTTTGTAATTTATATTTTTGTATAGACTTTATAGTTGATATAAATATTACAGTAGATTCATTTCTAAATTTGTAAGGAAGTAAACATATACATACATACATATACACACATGAGGCAGGATATGTACTCATAAATGTTTATCAAGGACACATGATCAAAAAAAGTGGACACCACTGCTCTGAAAGGTGATGTCATCAGAGTGCAATCTCTAACAGGTTCTACAACATTGGAAAATTTATGAAAATTGGTTTGGTCCAAACTTGGCCCTGAAAAAGAACTGAGAAAACATACCCTTCTCCCTCTTCTTTGCAAAAGTTTGTAACTGCATGGATGGAATATTGCATAGACTGTCAGATACAATTGATATATTGGTTTGTTTTACTGAACTACTTTTTCTCTTTTTATAATCTTTGTTACAAAGGATGGATAACTGGGTAGGGAAGAACAGAGGGATCTATTCAGACATGAAGGAAATGAAAAAGTAAAAGATCAATAAAAATAATAACTACAAAACAAAGAAAATGGGTCTGATGCTGGACTATATGTTTCTTGTCTAAGGCTCAACCTAGTAAAGTCCAAAAGGTTTCTCACCAGATATTTGGCCATGAGGTACTCAGTATCCCCCCTCCCCCCACTTACAAGAACTTATGAAGATAGTCTGTTTGTGCATAGAGAAATTGTAAATTTTTATCAGTGTTGGGAATCCACATACCAGTGAAAGTATGGCTTCTCAAAGTATTGAAGCAATTTAATGAGTTTCCCTGAACCATCCTTACACCCTCACTTGGGAGCCCAATGGCATACATTTACAAGCTGGACACCTAGACTTAGAGTTATAGCCTGTGGCAATGGCTCAAAATAAAAATTATTGTCAGGTAGCTGTAGTGGAGATTCCTTTTGGGGATATTGTTTAGATTCAGTGACTTCTGAGGTCTCTTCAAATTCGAATATTTTGTGATTTAGATTCTATGTATATGGAGCTATTTGAGTGGGTGAGGTGGGGAGAATAAGGACTTTTCCTGATGAAAAGAATACTCGTGTACTCAAACCCAAATGTACCGGTGTTATGATGTTCAAGTTAGACCTCAAGGGTGAGCCAAGTGAAGCAGCAGGTCCCGATTCCCATTTGTCAAACCCTAGTACCTCAGCATTCTCCTTTTGAATAGTTGATGACCTAGCTGTGCTCCATTTTTCTGTGTTTGGGATATTCCTAATGGATTAAAATGTGTTCCACTTCCCTTACACAGGTTGCTGCACTGGGAGTCACTACATTCACCTTATGTGCTCTGTGTATAGACCGCTTCCGGGCTGCCACTAATGTTCAGATGTACTACGAAATGATTGAAAATTGTAGTTCCACAACCGCCAAGCTAGCTGTCATCTGGGTTGGGGCTCTACTTTTAGCACTCCCAGAAGTCGTCTTGAGACAGCTCAGCAAAGAAGACTTGGGTTTTAGTGACAGAGTTCCAGCAGAACGGTGTGTCATCAAGATTTCACCTGAGCTCCCAGACACGATCTATGTCTTAGCTCTCACTTACGATAGTGCAAGACTCTGGTGGTACTTTGGCTGCTATTTTTGCTTGCCCACACTTTTCACCATCACCTGTTCCCTTGTGACTGCGAGGAAAATCCGCAAAGCTGAGAAGGCTTGCACCAGAGGGAACAAGAGACAGATTCAGCTTGAAAGCCAGATGAACTGCACCGTAGTCGCCTTGACCATTTTGTATGGATTTTGCATCATTCCTGAGAACATCTGCAACATCGTCACAGCCTACATGGCTACTGGGGTCTCAGAGCAGACAATGGACCTTCTCCATCTCATTAGTCAATTTCTTTTGTTTTTTAAGTCTTGTGTCACTCCTGTCCTCCTTTTCTGCCTTTGCAAACCTTTCAGTCGGGCCTTTATGGAATGCTGCTGCTGCTGCTGTGATGAATGCATTCAGAAGTCTTCAACAGTGACCAGTGATGACAATGATAATGAATACACCACAGAACTAGAGCTCTCCCCTTTTAGTACCATACGGCGTGAAATGTCTACTTTTGCATCTGTTGGGACCCACTGCTAAGTGACTTCTTTTTTTAATTTTATGAAAATTTTTACTTCCTTTTTCCTTACTGGAACAAAAATACAAAAAAAATAAAATTACATATAGTAGACTGATTTTGCATATTAACCCATATGCTTTGTTGAGGGGAAGGGAGTTATGTTTAGTTATTTAAGAGAAAGAACAAACCAACCAATAGTTTTAGACCATTTTTATCCAGTATGGTGCTAATATTTTATTTGAAAAAAAAAGTTATTGCACCTTAATTTAATTACTCATTAGTTTTTTTTATAAATAGAATCATTGTCCATTGAGTATAGTCATGTGATTTTACAAGATGTTTTATGTAAAGATGTGGTTGAAGGTATTGTGTATTATATCGTGAGATGACCTGGAGTTTAAAATTCTCAAAGTAGTCTAAAATAAATTGCATTTTATTATTTAATTTCATTGTCAACCAACTTTTAACAAAGACCCAATAAATTTCTTTCAATTTCCTTAATCACAGATTATTTATTTTGTATAGAAAAATGTAGATTGACCCTATTTGATTTTTTATTAATTTGCATTCCTTTTGAGGCAAGTAACTAGTATGTTATAAAGAAGTGCTCCCCATGGTGTTTGCTTTACCAGAATGGTTTTTAAATATATGTTATGCTCTAAATTAAATAATAATAATAACAACTAACATAAGTGCTTACTATGTGCCAGGGACTCTGCTAAGTGCTTTACAATGATTAACTAATTTGATCCTCACAAAATCATGAGAGGTAGGTGTTGTTATGATTCCCATTTTACAGATGAGGAAACTGAGGCAGAGGTTAAGCGACTTTCTTGAAGTCGAAAAGCTAATAAATGTCTGAGGCTGGATTTGAACTCTGATCTTCCAGAGTCCAGACCTGGTGCTCTGTGCCATTTAAAATTATATTTTTAACATGTGAGTAAAGAGCATAATAATTATTCCCTAATATCTCTGAAATGTGGCTAAGTAGGTAGGAGATTAGGCAGGAAGTATATTTCTGAGTTCCCAATGACCCCCTCCTCAAATAGCACCTCTAATAGCCATAATCTCACATCATGAATGATGGGCAGGGTGACGGACAATAAAGAAAGAATGTTACTGTGGCACTCTGACTTTTTTTTTTGCCAATTAGGTCTATGAATTCTAACATTGCCTCTACAATTTTTTACATGTGAATTTGGACATATTCTTGTATCTCACTTTCATCTTGTTGGAAGAAAATTAATTAATTAAGGGAAAAATCTATTAAATATTTACTGTGGTCTAGGCACTGTTTAAACCCTATAGATCAAAATGCCAAACATACATTGGTGATAATACTCACTATATGATAATTGCTCATAAAGTGATAAGCTTATTTCTTTAATCTCCATTGATAAATGAGGTTAAGGAGATAAAATGATAGGTTCCTTTTAAAGACATTTGAATTTCTTATCCTAACCACGACCACCACAGCTGCTCAGAATGACAGGGCAATGAGACATATGTATAATCAGGCAACAGTGACAGTGACCAATTAATGTTTGAAAGCAACCGATAAGTGCATCTTGACTCTAATTGATATCTACAATATCTACCCCTAGATTGAGTCTATGTTAAAGATATTAAGTATGGAGAAGGTAGTTTCCCATTACCCCACTGATTTCTCTTTGCTTCAAATCTGTAGCCATTATAATGACCCAAGGCTGCACCTTCATTTTTTCAGAGGGCAACTTAATGCAAACTACTGAACTACTTCAGAAGGGGCTTTCCCATGAGCTCACCCCTTGGGAGTTGAGGATAAATATAAAGGTAGAAATGAAGGTACCTGGCTTCCTTTTGCAGACCTGTGCAAATAAATTTATTCCTAGGATTGGAAGGAATCTTGAAAGGTCATTTGGTCTAGCCTTTACTATAAGATTGGCCAATGTCTAAACCATCTAAGACAGATAATTATCTATTCTGCTTCTAAAGATCTCCAGGGAGGAGGATTTCTTAGTGTCCCTTGGCACCTTTTACCAGAGATTAGTCACTCTTGCAGTCAAAAAGGCTTTCTTTACACTTAACTCATTACTGTGGTGATTGAAGCTGGATTTCTCTTGTCACAGAGAATGACCATTTAAAGTAACTTCATAGACATAAAAATAATTGAAAAGCTTCCCTTTTTTAGATGAAATCTCCAACTATTTTAACTTGCTATTTCATACTTCCTTTGATCTTCTCAAGACCTTTTTCAGTTTTTTCACATCCTCCTTAAAAACAAGACCACACTTTAACATGATAACTGTTTAGCTTCAACTAATCACTTCCTTGGGATTTGGTTCTTTTGTTTATTGGTTTATTTTTCTAAAACACATTACTTCTGCTTTGGGAAGTACAGTACATTAAACACAGTTTAATCTGCAGGATTCTTTAGTATCTAAAGTTTATCATTATCCTTTTTAGTTCTTATTCTAAATTTTATAGATATGGGTGGTATAGGGTAGAGGATCTCAGCCTTTGTGTATGAGGTCTCTTTTTATTGTCAAAAAATGGAGATCACAGCTTGAGTGCTAGTATCTTTTATCTGAGAAAGCACAAATTATCAAAAAGCTACTTTAAATTTAATAGTGCTTATAAATTAATTTGCTATTTATCTCTATACATTTGTTATATACATGTAGGACATATTATTTATTCAAATTATGGAAAATATGTTAACTTATCCATGGGTTTGCATGGGCCTTAATAGACTTCTTGTAAAAACCTGTGACCCTCCAGGGTTCTTTGTGCCTATGCTTTAGGAACCAATGGCAGAGGATATGAGGATGAATTTATGTATATTCCTGGAAGTTGGTTTTATGAATAAATCTCTGATATGAGGGGTTTTGTTATGACTTACCTCTTTCTCCTAAAAGTGAAAGAAGAAAAAAAATGGAGCTTCGAAGTGGGGGACAGATTATGGTTAGTTAGATTTCAACTGGTTGGGTATTCAGTGTCCTCTAAAAATATTTGATCAACCTCAGGTTTAATGATGGCCTGTTCATGGTCCTTTTATTTGTTAATTGTATATAAACTTTAATCCCATTTCTACAACTTTTGTTTCAAATAAGTGTATCATATTTTGCTATATTTATTCATCTTCAACTCATATCTATTCAGTTGACAACTACTATGCAATTGTATCCATGAATTTCAGTCAGTAGATATGGATCTCAGTTTCTCCATCTGTCAAATCAAACATTTAGATTGAACACATGATCTTTAAATTCATTTCCAAATCTAAAATTATATAATTCTTCTAAACTCTTTGTTGTTGCTCAGTAGTGTCCAAGTCTCTGTGGACCCTATTTGAGGTTTTCTTGGCAAAGATACAAAGATACACAGCTAGTAAGTGTCTGAGGTCAGATTTGAACTCAGAAAGAAGAGTCTTCCTGACTCCAGGACCAGCACTTTATCCAGTGTGCCACCTAGCTAATCCCTAAACCCTTAGCCTCAGGACTAATCCCCAAGGAGTACCACTGATATCCTTCTCTTAGTTAATTCAACTAAAGTTATTAAAGTAACATCTATGATAAAGGAACTATGCTAGGATCTGGGGATACAAAAACAAAAGTGAAATCATCCTTCTAGTATCTGATCCCTAACCCAAAGGAACTCAATTTCTATTGGAATAGCACTGGAGTGGGGATGGGTAGCAAGGGCAGAATACAACACATACTTATATGAGAAAATGCACGGTAATATGAGGTAAGAGAAAACACTAATAACTGGGGGAATCAGGAAAGACTTCAGATGGGAGATGGTACCTGACCTGAACTGAATGGTGAAGGAAGCTAAAAATCCCAAGAACCCAGAGGTGAGAAGGGAATATACGTTCTAGGCATGAGCAGCTGCCTACGCAAAGGCTCTAGTAAGGGACCTGGAATATCACGAAACAGCCGGCAGGATAATCTGAGTAGAAAACAGGATATTAGGAAAGTATTGAGTAATAAATCTGGAAAGAAAAATATAATCAGCAAGATCAATTAGAAGACTATTGCAATAGTCTAGGTGAGAGGTGATGAGGGCTTGAGCTATGGTTGTGACAATGTGATTGTAAAGAACAGGAAATGAGAGAAATGTTGCAGAGTTAAGAAATGCTGATAGGGCTGTTCCACAGGTGATTAACTAGAGATACAGAAGATTAGAGATGGATATATGGAATTTGGAGTCATCTGCATAGAAAATTTCGATTGAATCCATGGGAGCTGATGAGATCACAAAGAGAGATGACGCAGAAGGCAAAGAGGCCACTTAGGACAGAGTCCTGCTGATTATGTGATCTTGGTGGGCAGGAGATGGATAATGATCTAGCAAAAGACACTGAAAAGAAACAGGCAAAAGAGACAAAAAAGAAACAGTCTCCTGGAGGAAAGCCAGGAGAAAGTGTTACCCCAAAGTCTTTAAAGCTTTACAGAAAGCCTGAAATTTTAAGGAGCAGAGAAGAAGAGGGAATTCACTCCAGACATGGGGGACAGCCAATGCAAAGATGTTTTGACAGGAGATGAAGTATTGTGTGAGAGGAACTACAAGTAGGTCAGTGAATGATCTAAGGCCCAAAGATCACGGGTCTCTGCTGATAGAACATTAGTGATGGTAGCAGATGTTTACCTTCTTAAATTTTATTTATTTATTTAGTTAGTTAGTCCTGGACATGTTATTTCATTGTCATTGGAAACTTCCAAAGAGGAAAAGTCTTCCACTTGCTCTCAAAATTATAATCTTAGAGGGGCAGTTAGGTGGCTCAGTGAATAGAACACCAGCCCTGAAGTCAGGAGGACCTGAGTTCAAATGTGGCCACAGACACTTACTAGCTATGTGACCCTGGGCAAGTCACTTAACCCTGATTGCCTCCGGAAAGAAGGAAAGAAGAAAAGAAGGAAGGAAGGAAAAGTATAATCTTAGAGAGTTATTTCAGGGCTCGCTAAGTGATTTGCCTAAGTTCACAAAGTATGCGGCAGAGTTGGACTTGAACTCTTCCTGGTTCAAGATCTGATTTGAAGTTTACAAAGCACTTTACGTAGGTATTTATTTCATCTGAGCCTCACAATAATGTTGTT